AAAAATTGAATGAAAATTAGCCTTATAGACAACAAATGGGATAATAACTCTCATAGTCCTTTATCATTTGATTCCAATTCAAAAAAATATCATTTTTATTATCTTGTGGGCCTATCTCAAGCCCATTCTCAACCATGCTTGGACTAAGGCTTCCTACAAAGCTAGTGGCCTTATACAAAACCTTCTTGGGTTAGCCCTAAACTACTAACCCAAAAATTAAGACGTTACAATGATGATTCTGATTTGATGATTTGAGATGTTAATTAATAAATAACTTTTTAGTTTAATCTATACTTTTAAATAAAATATTAATTTAACCTTTAAGCTTTAGATAAATTATTAACTTTATTCTTATATTATAGCTAAAGTATCATACAAATCTCTAAATCCAGTTAAAGTCACATGTTACCGGCCATCACTGTTAACGATCATTGGACTTTAAAATTTTCAATCCACTCCTCTTTGACCTCTTGAACATGAATTTAATGTTTTGTTTCATCAAAAAATATCTCAAATTTCATAAATATAACTTATAACTCTTGACTTCCTTTATAATTAAATCATAAAAATATATTTATTGTTAATATCTTAAAAAATTAAGAATTCTATAAATTAAATCTATAACTTTTTATTTATAATTATATAAACATAGATAAAATATTAATTTGAATAATTTCTTAAATTCAAACTTAAAATCAATTAAGACTAACTCTTTTATATTTCTAATTCATTTGCAAATTATTTATTTTTATTTATCATCTTAATTAACAAAATGTGAAGACTTATTTATTATTAATAACTCGTATATATGTCAAAGCTATTCAATTTTATTAGTTTAGTACTGATTTAATTATTATTTAGTGGTTTTAATAGTAAAAGATTTTTTTTAAAAGAATCAAACTTAATAGTTATGTTTTTAATATCATAAAAATTTTAAATAAATATTATCATATAATCACATTATATTATTTTTTAAAAAAATATTTTTTTAATATTTTAACAATACTATATATAAAATTAGAAAGATTATTTAATGGAATTCTTATTGAGTTCCAATAAATAATGATAATTGAGCAATTTTTTATTTTATTTTGAAATACTCATGTCTTTCCCTTCTTGTTTCCAAGATGTTTTTTTTATAAGAAAATCAATTTAATTCGAAATTGATGGATTTCGACTTGACTCAATTTGATAGGGTCAAATATTTTAAAGAAAATTTCGAATTCCGGTCAGGTTGAATTATATAGGAATGATATCGAATTAGGTCAAATTTATATTCTAAAAATTCATGTTGAGTTGGATTTGAGTGGATGACATATACCATTCGCGTCAGATTGAATCAAGTGAAGGGTACATGCTTTTTGGGTTAGATTCAGGTTTAGGTGGAGAATATGAATTTCGAGTAGGGCTGAGTTTACCAAAAATCTGACCTAACCTAATTCATTGCCATTCTTATTTGTTTCGGGCATAAAAGGAGAAACTGTACCTTCCCATGGACGTACGATGAATTTTATATAAGAGAATAAATTTCTAAAATTTTAGAAATTGACGAATTTATAAAATTTAAGACGTGAAAACAAATCTTCAATAAAAATACATAGAAAATTTTTAATACATATTGTAATTTTAAAATTTTAACGTACATCTGTTCCACTAGTCCCCTCCTCAATAATCCCTGTACGTTCCCCTCCCTCTACTTTCAGCCTATGCATTTCTTGTCATAACAGAGTGGATTGAAAAAGTATTTGAATTGATATTTCACTTAAATTTATATTATCATAAAATGATATGGATTTGATTATTATATAGGTTTAGATTTTTTAGTATCTTTATTTTTAAATGAATGTTAATGATAAATTTATTATTATAATTTAATTATAAATGAAGTTAAAGATTTTAAGTTAGATTTGTATAATTTAAAATATTAAAAAAAAAACAAACATCAAATTTATGTTCAAGTGTCTAAAGAGGAGTGAAGTAGAAATTTGAAGGTTCAATTATCGTCGATGACGACCGACGGTAACCAATGACGATGATTAACAATATTTAACATTGGAGAATTTTGGTCTGATTCAAAGATTAAATTAATATTTTATCTAAAATTAAAGAGATATATTAAAGTTTAAATTAAAATTTTATCTAAAATTTATATAATATGGATATTATATAAAATTTTATCTATATAATATAGAATAATTTAAATATTAATGTTTTAGAACATTTAACCGTATGAATGCGTTTTATGAGTATTTATATAATACGCATATAATTATATATTACATTAATTATATTTAAATATATTATATCATATTTGTTGGAACATTGAAGTTGCATAGAGAGGTTGAGAATTGTTATGATAGTTTACACCTCTTCAATTTTGAGTATTGAGTTCATATTTTATTTTAAGTCAATTAATTTGAACTTAAATATTAATTTAAATTATTTTAATCATAAAATTTAAGAATTTAGACTCGAATTATATTTTAGTTTGTAATGATAAGATAAATAATTATTTTGCACTACCTTATAAGTACCGGATTATATACATTATTTTTCTAGTAATGTTAAATATTTTAATTAATAGTTGCACAATTTGTTTACTTTTTCTAATATATAAAAGGATTTTGTATAATTAATTTTAAATTATTCCTCATAAATTGTTGAAATTAATATAATTATTCAGATTTTCTTTGGTAGTTACGAATCGAGTTAATTAGTACTAAAAAATAGAGATGCTAAATGATCCTACTGAATTTATCAATATCATAATACTTGTTACGCATGTAAAATTTTCGAGTCGGTCAAATATCTTTATCATGTTAATCTAAAAATATATTTGTTAATGTGTATTTAACATTTGAGAATTTTACGTCAAATAAATAATTTTATATATAATCACTTTCAACATGGAAGTGCAATGCTAAATACCCGCAGATAATGTATATATTTTTAGGGTAAATTATGTGTTTAGTACCTAATTTTTAGTTTTATTCTGTTTTAGTACTTAGACTTTCAATTTTTTAAAATTATACCTAAAGTTTATTTTTTTCGTTTTAATTAGTACCCGTTCAAAGTTTAACGTTAAATTTTGAAAAACATGGAAGTTTAAGTACTAAAATAGACCAAAATTGATAGTTTAAGTACTAAACATGTGAAGTTTTTAATAACATGATACTAAAATGAAACAAAAATTGAATATTATGTATAGCTTTAAAAAAATTAAATATTAAAACGGATCAAAACTGATAATTTAAATGTTAAATGTGTAGTTTACCCTTTTTAACAATAACAACTAGATTTCGTTAATAAAACAATGGAACGTTCGAATCTCTCACACCTTCCGTGAGGCTAACAGGGTAGCCAACGCGATAGCGCATATAGGCCGCACATCATCCCCAAACATCTCGATGATCAGTCAACCGTCCAAAGGTATTCATGAGCTTCTTCGTCTGGATATGGACACTCGGAGGAACAACAATACTTGCTACTAGACCAGCCCTTTTTTGCTACCAAAAAAAATTAAACAGTAGAAGGAAATAAAAATATTACATACCCAGAGTACAGAGAAAAATGAAGATAATAGTTAGCAAAACACTCATACAAAAACAAACATATTAAAACCAAAGATACGAAGAAAATCGAAATATTCTCTTGAGAATGACAACTAACATCAAGAGAATTCAATAACATTTATAAAAACTCCTTGTCAGGGAGGGTGACGACTACCCCCACTCAGTCTATCCATGCTCATTTTCTCTGTTGAACGAGAGACTTTACGAAATGATAAAGGAGTGGTGAGCAAACCAAATTATCTGCTAGGATACTTCACTACACAATTCTGATTATATCATGAAACAACCTTTTATCAAATAGGAGAATTGATTATACATGATCACCAACAAACTAATTAGAAAACAAATGTCGTGAGGTTCTTTGTGCGAGCACCAAAACGACTGCAAAAGTATGTGAAAAATGTTCCAAAAGCCATAAGAAATGTGTTATAAGAGTTGAGAAAACATGTGTCACAAGATAATAATTTATTTATTTAAATTTAAAAAACTCAAGAGAAAAAAAAACCTAATAATCACCAGGTAGGCAACCAGATTGTTTCGCCTTCCAACCAAAATGAATAAACCCAAAAAAAAAAGATTTTGCATAGAAAATACAAAGAAACCACAGCTCCCCAAGGCCTTGACACCACCAAAACCAAGGCAAAATGTAAATCCAACTATTTATCGGAAATAATATAGGAATCTTATACTTACTATACACCCCCAAGAAAAATATATAATCCTGTCCCTAGTCCCTTTACTATTCCTACCTTTAAAATTTAGTCTCTTTTGAGCTTTTTTATTTCAAAATTTAATCCATCTTTGGTTCTATTTAAAAATTAAAATTTTATTGTTATAAAAAACGCATGATTTAACATTAGAGGTAAACTTATAAAATTTTAGGAATGAAAAATTTATAAAATTTTCGTGAGGTAAAGACATATTATCAATAAAAAAACAAAAAAATATAATTTAAATGATAATTTAATTTTTTTTAGAGAAGGTGACTGGCCTACCAACCTCCCGTGGTTCATAGTTGATTATTACTGATGTTAATCGACTTATTTAATTCAAATTATGTGCATACTAGTCTTTGATTCTAAATAAGAGATTTGAATATCAAAATGACATATATATATATATATATTTAAATTTGATTAAAATTCATTAATAAGTTATTGGTCGATTTTTCATATTTTTTTATTATCATTTGTATTTAAATTAATCTAAATTGAGTACTATAAAAGTTTTTGAAAGAATGACCCTTTTAAGTTAACTTGTTGATTAAAATGAGAACTGTAGATGTTGTTTAAGAGATGTAATGTCCTCTAAATCGATTGATAGTTGGTGATTGAACATTAATGTTTGAATCAAACAAATAGAAATTGAATTCCCAACATAAAAAGTAGAGGGAGTAAGTTTCAAAAATCTGAAAACTACAAGAACTGAGTGCATAAATAAACCCAAAAAACAATAATCTCTCAAACTATTTTTGAGTTCATTTCTTGTACTTAGCAATTCTTTAGCTTTGATCAGTCATCATACTTGCTTTCCATTACCTTCTCTCCCTCCCTCTCTTTCTCTCTCAGCTAACTTTACTAGAGAGTTGAAATCTTCCATTTTTTACCTTCTTGTCCAAAACCTTGATTCCGTCGTATATCCATAATCAAATATCACTAGCCAAAACGATCCAAAACCCAGTATTCTATTGCTTTGTTTCTAATCCTTTTTAATTTTCATAAGCTCAAAAACTTGAAAAAAAAAACCATGGCTAATCTATGGTGGACGGGGCAAGTAGGGTTACAAGGAATGGAAACATCGGCCACTTCATCATCTCCGATGAAGAAACCAGATCTGGGTATATCCATGAACGGAGAAACAGGCGGCGGCGGTGGAACCACGGCAGAAGAAGAAGACAAAGAGCACAGCGACGAGCCTAGAGAAGGTGCTATCGAAGTATCCACTCGCCGTCCCAGAGGTCGACCAGCAGGCTCCAAAAACAAGCCCAAACCACCCATCTTCGTCACTAGAGATAGCCCTAATGCACTAAGAAGTCACGTCATGGAAATAACCACCGGTTCTGACGTAGCCGAAACCCTAGCCCAGTTCGCCAGGAGGAGACAACGAGGGGTCTCCGTTCTCAGTGGGAGTGGAACTGTCACCAACGTTACACTCAGGCAACCTTCGGCTCCTGGTGCTGTCATGGCTCTTCATGGTCGGTTCGAGATTTTATCGTTGACCGGAGCGTTTTTGCCCGGACCGGCTCCCCCGGGATCGACCGGGTTGACGATATACCTAGCCGGTGGTCAAGGGCAGGTGGTTGGTGGTATTGTAGTGGGGTCACTTGTGGCATCAGGCCCTGTCATGGTAATAGCAGCAACTTTTTCCAATGCTACATATGAGAGGTTGCCTTTGGAGGAGGAAGAGGAGGGTGCCGCTGGTGCTCAAGGTCAGCTCGCTGCTGGCAGCGGATCGCCACCAGGAACTGCACAAGGAGGGGTCGGTGGTGGCGATGGTTCGGGTTTGCAAGTTTACAGTAATTTGCCACCAAATTTGGTGCCTAATGGTGGACAGTTGAACCATGAGGCTTATGCTTGGGCGCATGGTGGAAGGCCACCATATCAGTAAACATATAGAAAGGAATATTGCTTGTGAGAGATTTAGATATGCTTTCACTTTGCAGATTAAGATGATCATCTTTAGTTTCTTACACTTCCCTTCTTAAATCCCATTTCTTTATGTTCATGTACTTATTTTAGCCATACGATTGTAAAATACTGGCATGTTAGATCAGAAACTATCTAATTTCTTTCACAATTGAAATCATACACTGAGATTAGGGTAAATTAAATCAATGATTTTTTCTATGGGACGAGATAATTATAAAGTAATATTTATTCTCTAATATTTTGTAATCATGACACGTATATCTTACCATCGTAATTGTTCTAACTCAAATTATTTAGAGAAAACTACCTTTATTAACAGCATAATACCAAAAAATATTTCTAATAGTTGATTAAATAATTATTTTTACTCTTTTTTTTTAATATTTTAACCTTAATATTTCTCTTTGGGACAAAAAGGTTTTTTTATAGATAAAAATCATTAACCAACAAATGATTAAAACTCCAAAACATGAACCAAAATGCTTCAAAAAAACCAATGGTAAAAACGTTTTTACTCCAAAATAATATGTTAGAGGTAAAAATATTTCAAGAAAAAAATAATAATCAAAATGATTATTTAATCGAATTTTAAAAATACTATTCAATATTATGCTTTTATAAATATAAAAGCAAAATATTGCAAATAAATTTCTTGTTGGTGATGCAGGTGAAAATTGTTGGTGAGAACTTATATTATACTTACAAAAATAATTATAATGGAACAGTTGATAACAATAATTTGACCTAAAATTTATAAAGTGGGACATTGCATCCTCGAATTTTGAATTTTTATTAAAAAATCAAAATCTGAAATATTTTTAAAATTATAAATACTAGTTTCCTTAAAATGCGACTTCAACATAGAATTGAGGATTTGGGGTAATGCCAAGGTTCATGGGTTCTGGCATGCTTCTTTGCAATTTTCCTTTTAAAAAAACATTGATTTTCTTCAGGTCAATGGCAGCCTGCAGAAGCAACATAAAAGGCATGAAATGAACCATTCTTCAAAAATAACATGAAAACATTGTGGTGCTCATTAATGAATGCACGGGACTTGACACTTGAATTAACAAAAATTTCGATCGCACTCGTCGCTTCTCAAGTTCCGAACGCTCATTTCTGGCATACTTCCGAGTTTCCCAGCATGGATTCCATGCAACTCCATCATCTACAGCATGAGCCAATGTCAAAAGCAATGATGGAGTGCTTAACAGTTGCATTTTACATAAATCTTTAAAGCAATATGAATGTGAATGATTTCACTGTGATGGAACAAAGTAAAAGATGTTAGCATATTATAGGATAGATCTGCAACAAACCGAAACCAGAATCCGGTTTCTTGAAACAGGGTTTTTGGATTTGTCCTCCAGCAACCAGAATCTTAAGAGACCAGGTTTTCGAATTTGTCCACAAGCTGCAAGAATCTTAAAGCTTTTGATTGATGCATGAACTTGAAAGAATACAACAAGGGGGTGGACAGTCATCATCCTCATCCTATTACAATTTATTAAGCTAAAAGAAAGGTGGGAAATTAACTTAATGGCCAAAGAGGCCCATTTTTTTCTTTTTTTCTCTAAACAAATCAAAGGATTCTAGAGTTTTAGCAAACACCAAGGACCCTCTTCACATGGACTCACATGATGATTGTTAATGACCACCTTGGTAAGTTTACCTAGTTACTTGCACAACATTCCAAAGGTAAAGCATTGACAGTGGTGGAGCCCGCCGCGGATTATAATAATCAAAATTTCCTTCAGTTTTTTACACAATGGCTTCTCTTTCTTCTGCCCTAGTTGTCTTTCTAAGTGTATTTTTACCAATGGCTTGCAGCCCCTAGCTCTTCTTAAAAGTCGAACAAGATTATTAAACTTATACTACGTTGAGGGAATTTGAAAAATCGATTTATTTATTCATTGATCACGGAGAATCATGCATCAGCAATTGAAATTTGAGAGCATGTTCTCTTTCCAAGTCTAAAATGCTTAATTATTTTATTTCCTGCATGTACCTGTCGTGGGGTACATTGCGCCCTTAGCGAATTAGGTGCCATTTGACCTAACTTTCAAAAGGTTCCACCTCCTATCCGGTTAGATAATCTAAAATCGTTTCGAGTTTCCAATCAAAGAACAACACGTTCATCCCATTGAACACCACGTTCACTCCATTGATGAGCATTTCCACATAGTCTAGTAAAGCAGGAATATTTTAATGCACTCACTAGTTTGCTTTTCCTGATCAATCATTATTTTTGATGCAATCCTTAAATTGTAAAGCGGTCACCAGCTACGACATTCATCTCCTGAAGGAGACATATAAACTAGAAAAGCAAATTAAAACGAAAGAACCTACTCAAAGAAAGAGCCAAATTGACATAGCAGCAAGATTCAAATAAATGATTCACCAGCTCCTCATGTATGGAGGCTAAAGATTGTTGCTCAACAAAATCAGAAAATGGAAGGGGAAAAAGGAGTGCAAATTATATACTGAAGATTTATATCTATAGTTCTACACTGTCCATATCTATAGTCCTCCAAAGTTCTAATTGTAGTTTTAATTAGATTTATAATCAAAATACTACTTTGATGGGACCCATCTATCTATATATATATAGATATAGTTCTACACGTCCAAATTATACACCGAAGATTTGAAGTCAAAGAATAGCCATCAAGTTGTTTTCTCTCCCCTACTGTTGATTGCTTCAGCAGATTATCAATCAATAGATACTGATAAATGGATAATTATGCATCCAGGGGCATAGTTTTACATATTAAGGCACTAGAGTGAACTATCACGTATATGTAAAACTAATTTTTGATTAACAATAATAATAGTTAACTTGTCATGATCCATATCTAGGAAGAAATCGGTGGAAGGTCCTTTAAGTTCATTGACTAGCTATTGGTATGTAAGGCACAAAAGTTCTTTTCAATCCTAATATGAACCTTAGTAAGTAAGCTAAATTAATTTAATTTTCTTTTGTTAGCATTTAGGGGTGCTTAAATATAGAAAGATTACAAGAAACAAATATCCATTTTGTCTTGATGTTTTGCAGTTTTCACGGCTCTTCAATCCCAGTTTTTAAACGTTAGAAAGCTAGATATGTTGCATGTAGGCATACTCAAATAGAAATTACAGTCTTCATTAAAATTACATCTCACGTCCATTAGAAATATGAAGGAAAAAGAGACAAACAATTGAATAATACAAAACAAAAGCTAATATTATACGGTAATAAATAGGTTTCTTTCGAGAAATATATTTATATTGGAACTTCCATGTAAGTGATTCAAAACCATTATATTGGAAAGTAATGGAATGTTAAATCTTACCACCGTTTGCATAAATAAAGGACGGGACTTCAATCTTTTGCTCTTGCATTCTCCAAATAACTGTTGCATAATAATGCAGGAATTGTAGAGCTCTGCTTATCATTATCCATAAAGCATGCTGGAAATAATTGAATGCAGGCCGGAGGGGGACCATTAACATATATATCGAAAAGTGTGGGGGCACATTCATATTTTCCCCCAGATAGAGTGCAGAAATGGACAATTGTAGGAGAGGACAAAAGATGGGCTAATGACACCTTTTTCAAGGAAAAGGGTCCCACTTAATGAAAGCAGATCTGGTTGACAATCTGACTGATTAAGAATTTGTCTACCACATGTGTCATGATGTGAGCATCTTAGCTACTAGAAGCCCTAAAATCCCGCCAGTATTTCAGGGTTAGCTCGAACACTGTCCAATGCTTAATGGAGTTTTTCATGTACATTTCTAAACCTGGTATTTGATAACAGTCATAAGTCATTAGTGCGTGCATGCATTCCTACGTTTCTATTTCAAGGTTAAACAAACGCATCCGAAAGCATCAATGGTCAAAACTCAAAACTTAAGAAAAGCGTAATGCTAACGAGACAAAAATGAATGCATGGGGTCGGACTATGGCACTCTTATTAAAGAATTCAGTTCAATAACTGACATCAAGACCCCAGATGCATGCATACCAGAAATGGTGGTATTGGCCTTAATTTCATACATAACACAAGACATGAATGCCCCATGAATCCGTCCCCTGCAAATAGTTTTCTTTTTTTAAGGGAAGGGGTGATGATGCATTCATATCTTGTTTTATGCATGAAACTAAGGTCAACTTGCCACACTCTGTATATGAATGCATCTTGCCTCTTGACATGTCAGATAATTAAATTGAAGTATTTAATGATGAGTAAACTGCAATAAAAAAAGGGGAGGCAAAATAGTACAGTTGGTTGGAAGCATTTAATATTTTCTTCAATTTCATTTTGTTTCCAGTAGTAAAACATCAGCAATTTTGATCTTATAGATGAATGAATATTATAATGTTGACCAAAACATTAAAATAATTCATCAGTGAGAATATTACTACCTATGGTTACAGAAGCAAAAGTAAAAGTTCGATAAAAGGAACAAAATGCTACAGAACGACGCTACAAAAGGAAAGATCAAGTGAGAAACCATGATTAAATGGAAGCATTACCGGTAAGTGGCATTCCCTGCAGATCCTAAATATAGAGGAATGACAAGTTTTCTGCACTGGTTTCACCATCTATTCATGATCAGAATAAGCCCAGCATACATTCTAATGCTAATTTTCTGAAAGTCAAACATATCTTTCCTGTACATTTTCTAGATACAAAGAGAAATCTACATGGTGCGCCTACTTCAAAAATTACTGGATCAACCTACAAAGGTAGCCAGTATTTACTGATTTATTTCTAAATCTTTCGAGTTGCGACAGCATAGCCAGTGGATACAACTTGCATGAAAATGAAAACTGCAAGGCATTCTAGATTCTTATTTTATCATTTGTTTATTTCTATTAGGGGCAAGGTTGTCCATGTTTGAACCTGGGGCCTATTGTCAATGTAAGTCATTTACCACTACACTAAAAGCTAGTTGATGGTTTTCTAGCTTATTGGTCAGGAGCA